AAAAAAAAAAAAAAAAAAACACACATTTCATGGTTGATGTAGCGCGAAGTTCTGACACTGCCTTTATAATTTCATCTTGTGATTGAGAATCTTTCCAATCCGTGATAGAAAAATATAAATTATATTTCTGACACTAGACATTCATTGAGCTTGTAGTACTTCTGAATGCTTCAAAAACCCAAATGTCATTTATTGGTTGTACCCCCAACTCCTTGGGTTCCAGGCTTCTGCTGTTATCTTCCCTTCATTTTGTTTCCTTCTATTTTTCTTCTTATCTGGGTGGTGCAGATGGTTGGGTTCGGTGTGATGTTCGCTTTTCAGGCTCCTTTTGCAGTTATTTGTGATTAATGCGGCAAGTGTTTCAAGCTTTACAGTGTCAGAAAGGTGAATCAGCTTTTATTTACCCATGTCAGTTAAATTTATTTTCTAGAAATGTTACTGCAGGTACTTTGTAATTTTGGATCCATTATACGGCAGTTCTGTAAATGGACATGCTGCTGCGAATGTGAATAATAAACAATTATATGAAGGCGTAAGTCCTGCCACAATGTGAGGACCTGCTGAACCGAATGGCTTTAAAGCTACAGAAGGTCACTCTCTCTCTCTCACTCTCTCTCTCTCTCACATATGGTATGTATGTGACATTTTCTGTTTAGCTATATGCTTGTATGTATATTATTACTTATACTTAATAAATTCTAGCAAGTCCATGCTGGATACCGTTTCTTCTACAATTTTGTACACAACAATATTTATCGGAAGTATAGTAATTGAGTGCTTTCTGAATTTACCATTACCAAGGAATGCTGTCCTTTGTGCCAACGGCTGTTGAAACATGTTGGGTTTGTTGATTTGAATCATTTGTTCCAATAATATTGGTAAGTGAGAGTTGTCTAGGAAGGTGACCACTCTACTTAGAGAGCCATGAAAATTGAGAAAACAGTCCTCAAAACTGATTTTAATTAAAATTCATCAGAACTTGACCTTTGCTCCTTTGCTTGTACCAAAAATTCTGACATTCATGAAAGCAGTAACTCTTAAGATATTACTTCAGTCTTTCTTTAACACAGCAGCGTTTATAATATGAAAAGCGAAGAATTGTAAATAACATCCCAAAACAACTCAGCCCTACTTGCTTTTATCAGAATGTTATTAGTGTCTTGTAAGATTTTGTCGGATTTTTTTTTTTTTGTCCTCTCCGACTTGATTTAACTGCCGACTTGTTTGGTCCAACGTGTCGTTTAACCTCTTACCTCATTTGATATTAGCTATGTTAGCTTCCATGTTTTATTGACGATATTACTCAGGGCAAACTTTTTGCGTCACAGAATATTGTCAACATTTTGTATCTACTACTTTCCGTAGTGCAGTACCCAAGTGATGCAGTTTATAGAAGAAGTTGAAGGAGTAAGCTCAATTGTACTTAATCTCATCAATACTGTCCACTGTAAACAAGTCCAAGGAAAAATGCAAAAACATGGGATAAATGTGATGCCCGGTACGTGATAGGCGAAGATTATTGTGGCAATTGCAACATTGTGTGTAAGGATCTCGCACTATATCTTCGTAATGAAGTGAGTTCATTTCAAGTGTAGTTCTAAGTATTTATACTGTTCAGAAGCTTGGAGGTCCATTTGTTTATATTATTTTGATTGATCTTCAACTGCACATTTTTAAACCACATTGCAAACAGTTTAAAAGCTTTATGATCTTCTATATTTTTGCTTTTCTCTCTTCCAAAATGATGTAGAGCGTAGTATGAAAGGGAAAAACACGAGCGATTGTTCGAGAGATAATTATCAATTTCATTAAAATTCAGTCTGTCTCCAAGAAGAGAAGACGATGGTTCTTATACATCAGATAATACCCTAACTTAAATGTCCACTAAAATAATAAATAAAGGCCCAACACTAATAATAATAATAATAATAATAATAATAATAATAATAATAATAATAATAATAATAAGAGCCCAATAATAAATAAAGACGACTAATGAAAATGAAACACGCTAAATACGAAGACGATCATATTTATTTAAAAATACTATCGCGGTCTGGTCTCCATCACAAAATTTATATAAAACCTCATTATTACTGCTTTAGTGTTTAGGGCTTTTCATGCATACAGAAAATATGATTGTTGCCTCATAAAGTATTTCTTTTTGTCACTTTGGCTATATCAAATTTTAAAGTTGTCAATTGTCACAATTAGTTCCTAAATTTGAAGACTTGCCTCCTAAATTTTGTTTTTCATTGAA